AAAAGCTGCGTGTTTGTAAGAAACAAATCCACCATTAAGACGCTTGGAACGTCAAACCATTGCTTCCAGCTGATCTTGTATCTATAAAGCTTCCTCTAGTGAAAAAGTCTGAATCAGGAGAGAAATCTGCACAGATAATGCACCATTTACAAGCGAGTCAAAAACAGCTCTAAACAAGTAGGAGATTACTTTTTCACTGGAGGAAGTGTTATCGTGGATTATGGACACGTATTTTAGCCTGGAAATGACGGTTTAAAGTGAAAACATCTTAATGTGATGAGTATTTGTTTCTTGCCGCTGTTCACTCACAAGATGATGTGGTCACAAGAGTGGTGTGGATTAATGTGATGTTTTTATCAGCTGTTTGGACTCTCATTCTGACGGCACCCATTCACTGCAGAGCATCCATTGGTGAGCAAGTGATGGAATGCTACATTTCTCCAGATCTGTTCTGATGAAGAAACAAATTCATCTACATCTTGGATGGACTGAGCCTGATTGCATTTTCATTTTTGGCTGAACTATTCCTTTAAACATCTTAAATGTGTTTGTTTAGCATGCATTTACTATGTTTTTCCTGTTAATCTTCACTGTAAACAGATATGGCTCAGTGTAAGTCTTTGGGATTTTTGTAGCTGTTTTGTCGTCTAGCAGGTGATAATAGTTCACTTAGTTAAGTAACAATGCAGATCTCCTCAATAAAATGCATGGTTTGAGGAATTGTTGGTGTCTATATGCGTTTTACACTGAGGTTTAACCCTTATGGTTTGGGTTTTTGTTCAGATCACTTTTGATTAGTGCACTTTAACCAGTTTTAGAGGGTATGTCGCTTGTCCATTGAAGACTATAACAACACTAACATGCTTTCTTTCTGGTTCTCTTTCTGCAGGCATACTTCCGACAGGGTGTTGCCCTTCAGTACCTGGGGCGCCATGCGGACGCCCTGGCCGCCTTCGCCTCAGGACTGGCGCAGGACCCCAAGAGCCTGCAGCTGCTGGTGGGAATGGTGGAGGCCGCCATGAAGTCCCCGCTAAGAGGTACACGGCCCGTAGGGTCAAATTCCTGAAAACAACCTCTTAAAGATATTAAAATCTTTTTGTGAGAACTTCATTAGTGAAAAAGGTTCATGAGTGGGCCAAGTAGTTTCTTATTTGGAATCTGAAAATGGCAAAAGCTGAGTAGGAAATGATGTTTGTGCGGAAAATTATTTCAGATGAACAGGGAATATAAGCTATAACGCAACATGCTGTTTTGGGCTCTTCTGATGTAGATTCATCTGTTGACTGTAATGAGCGTGATAATGAGGGTTCAGTGTGCATAATGAGCTTCATTTAGCAACCGTATTAGTGTATGAGAGGTATAGGTGCATTTTTTTCAGATCATATGTGACCTGCTTCATCATTTTGAGTCGTTTTTCATTTTTATGCACTGAATGAAAAAGTCTCAGTTCTCTACTAGTGGATTACAGTGATGTTATCTGACAGAATTAGACTAAGGTTGAAATGTAAAATGGCTCAAATATTTTATACTAAAATAATATACTGTATGTATACACACACACACACACACACACACACACACGTGACCCTGGATCACAAAACCAGTCATAAGTAGCGGGGATTAGAACTCTTGATATCTGGCAACCGCACTCATGAAAGTTTGCGTAGTAGATGCGTGTAGAGCAGTCCGCAATAACATAATAGTCTTCGTTAACGAAATTAACACTACTTTAAAGGCGATTTTTTCAATATTTTGATTTTTTTGCACCCTCAGATTCCAAATTCTCAAATAGTTGAATCTAGGTCAAATATTGTCCTATCATAACAAACATCATACATCAATGGAAAGCTTATTTATTCAGTTTTCAGATGATGTAGAAATATAAAATTTCAAAAAATTGACCCTTATGACTGGTTTTGTGGTCCAGGGTCTCACACATTCACACATCTACTAGCATATATTTACAAATGCGCATAACTCAAATTAGGATTTAAAAAAATAGACAAAATATGTACTTTGTGTATATATATATATATATATATATATATATATATGCAATATTTGCAAATATATGTAATACACTAAGAATGTTTGGAATTAAAAAAAAAAAAAAAGATAAAATATGTATATATTTTTTACAATTTGTAGATAGATAGATAGATAGATGAATGGATGGATGGACAATAGATAGATAGACAGCTGTAGGTGTTTGAGAAATGCTTTCAGGGCACTTGGATGTAAATCGCAGTCTTAGAATAAACAGGGTCATGCAAACAGCCGTTGTTGCGGGAGGACGTCCAAACGGGGCCGTTTTATCTGCTAATTATGTCCCTTATTTCCCCCTGTTGTCCCTCAGAGCCAGACGCAGCGCTCTGAGCCGCAGAGAGAGCAGATTATGTTGAACAGTCTCTCCAAATCGGCTCCGGGCAGAGAGGTGATCGCTCGCAGCCCTTGGGCTCGCTGATAACAAGAGACTCGCTTTCTCCCGCTCTCTCGCTTCCCCTCATCCCTTTATCGCTTTTGTAGCGCCCTTGTGTGAGGATTTGCATGTGGGATTACCTAACTTTAATTTAATTGTTCTCTTCTCGGCTTCACATCATCAGAGGTGCCATTCAAAGCCCTTCCGCTAAGACGAGAGGTGAGATGCCACCGAAAACTGAGCCGATTGTGTTGGACTGCTCGCGCGGGATAACAGACGCTCCTCTTAGCTATGTGTTGGAAAGTTGCAGACTCCGGAAATCACACTCAGGATAATCTCAGTGCTCGCCACCCACTCAAGTCTGTTGAGCTGGTTAGCTCCAGTTTGTGCTGTGCAGCACTATACAGTGATCAACTAGTCAGTCTTGAGTAATCTATCTGTCTGTCTGTCTGTCTGTCTGTCTGTCTGTCTATCTATCTATCCATATGCTGTTCCATTGATTGTTCTATCGTTCTGTTATTCATTCTATCTTTAAATACAATGGATACTGAATACTGTAAATACTGAAGCGATGCATTATTGAAATGGTCTGCAAGCATCTTTTTTAAAAAGTTTGCAATGATGTGATTGATGGTTGTACTGTATCCACAGATGGTTTCTACTCTCTCTTGATGTGTTTTTAGCCCGTCCCAGCGGTATAAAGCGTGATGAATTAGCACAGAATCTACCTGAAACCTCTGTTTTTGAGCTACAGGGAATACTAGAACTCCTCCGGATGCACAGCGAATTACAGATATGGAAATCCGCACGGCTTAGTTTAGGAATGGTAATGTATATAGACTAAAAGAAAGTAAACACAATGAAATGCAAGTGGGTGTTGTTGTCAGTCTCTGTTATTATTTCTTTATTTAGCAGCTTCCCACGAGACGCCAGACAGACACGTCAAAGCTTCTGTTTCACATGGCAAAGCCTCTCGACAGAAGAGAGGGAAGCGGCGAAGAGAAAGAGAAAAGCGTTGAGAGGAAGGAAAGATAGGCACCCAGAGGCTCATCATTAAACCCTCCTCTCCGTGGCGGGCTGCATAAGCACTTCTGCGCTCTTGTTTATCATGCCTGTGTCTGCTGTTAACTAGATTCACACACACACACACACACTCACTTCCGTCCCCAAGCCAAAGAGTTTCTCGCCACTTCGATTTATGCAACTTGTAAAAGTGTCAGGCTGAATGCAATTACGCGGTATGAATGCGCACGACAAACCCAGCGGAGTGTTTGTAGCCCGCGGCAGAGGACGTTCACGCCTGTCGGCTACACGTGAAGAGGGAATTAAACATGTCGGAAATCACTCAGCGTTCCTGAAGTGTCTTTTTACAGTCTGGAGATTCATTCATGCTGAATTTGACTAGATTTTGTCCATCGCACGAAATACAGTATAGCGGATAATTATTTCATAAAAATGTGTTAAATAGTTTACAATAGTTTTCTATTTCAAATATGTGCTGTTCTTTTGAACTTTCTCTTCATCAAAAAATCCTGGTTTTAGACCAATTTAGACCAAATTAGACCTGATTCGGTGGGAAACTGTCTAATTTTGTCCAATTTCCCACTGAAAAACTGATTCATATTGTCAGATTTAGCAAATAAAACAGCCCAGGTTTTTTTTTTCTTTTTTCTCCAGTATGCTCAGAAAATGTCAAATTTAGTCTGATTTACCAACAAAAACTGTTTGTCAGATTTAGCCAAAAACAGCCCAGTTTTGTCCAATTTGGTCAGAAAATGTCTACCTTTGTCCGTTTTTCCACCAAAAATTGTTTAATATTGTCAGATTTAGCAAAAACAGCCCTTTTTTTTCTCCCCAGTTTGCTCAGAAAATGTCTATTTTTGTCAGATTTTTTCTAACTTTTTCAAATTTTCCATGAAAAAATAGTTTAATATTGTCAGATTTAGCAAAAACAGACAAGTTTTGTCCAGTTTGCTCAGAAAATGTTTAATTTTGTCCAATTTACCATAAAAAAACAACAACTCAGAATCAATAATTATGGCAATGTATAAATCATAACACTAATAGTTGCTGATTGGTCAATGTGGTGTTCCAGCTGTGATAAAATACAGGATATGATGTGAAAGCACTTATGACAGTACACATTTGTGCAGCCGGGATGAAACATGCTGAATTGGCTATCAAACACACCCAGAAGGACAGTAAGAAATATACTTCATAGATACGCTACAGAAAAACGAGGGAAGGGCAGATAAAAATGGATCTTTGGAGGTCCCGCGGGGCAGCGGGTGACACTCGACTGTGGCCTGTCGTGATTTATGACAGTGTGTGCGTTTCACTCTTTAACTGTGTCTCCTTCCTCCGGCGGAGGTCACCTCTGCACATATGGTGCTCGCTAAATCTTACCGCAT